TGTATTAAAAGCCCCATACAACAAGGTAGGTTTTATAACAGCATCAACAATTTTGAAGGAAACCTGTGGAAGAGGGTGTCCAATTTTAGAAATAAATGACTTATGGGTATTAAGAGCCTTTTCTGTCTTCAGGGATACGTTCAGGTGGCACTTACCATATTTCAATTGTGATGAGAATAGGATACCTAAATTGCAATAATTTTGTTATAGTTACAGTCTTACTCCTTTAAAGTACCATTTTTCAATAGATTTTATAACACCACCATTTCTAAAGACAACAGTTTTAGTTTTGTCAATATTGGCAGATAATTCAGAATACTCACAGAATCTTTCCAGAATATTTATTTTTGGAGGACACCAATAGCGTCAGAGACAAGGCTGAGGTCGTCTGCATAAAAAAGAGCTAAAATTTCTTTCACTTCACTTATAGTGGAAATACCACAGACGTCACTGTTTTCTAACATTTCCAACAATTGGTTAATGTAAAAGAAAAGGATAGGACTCAAAATACACCCTTGTTTTGAACGTGTATGACATTCAAAGGAATGTGTTATTCGGCTGCCTAATTGGACACAACTCTTAACTGAGTTATACATATTTCGTAGTGCATTATGCATTTTGCCATGAATACCCTTTGGAAAAGCAATGTCATCAATTTTGCCCGATTTAAACTATCAAAAGCCTTAGAAAAATCAATAAACATACAGTAAAATCTGCCTTTAGGTTTTGATAGGTACTTTTCCACATGGCCACTCAAAGTAAATATGTGATCAACTGTTGAGTAATGTGGTCTGTAGCCAGCTTGAGCTTCCTCATACTTATTACAACATTCCGACCAGTCTTACAATCTGCAATTTAGAACTGATGCAATTTACCAATATTATTAGAGATATACCTCTATAGTTACTAACCTCACATTTATTACCTTTCTTGTACAATGGTATTATCATGGCAGTAGACCAAGAACTAGGATAATATAGTTTGAGCTAAACACAGAAATGAACAATTTTGTTAGGATCGGTGTAAACAAGGATGGAGATGATTTTTTGAGATCTATAAAAATTCCATCGGGTCCAGGGGATTTCCCTGTTTCATCGTAATAGCATATGGGGATAAGTTAAAAATAATTTAAGTCTCAGATTGCTGAAAATAGTGTCTACGGCTTCTAATTCTTAAAAATATCCATAGCAACCCACAAACTCCCCATTCCCGAAATAAAACCGTTCATCGAAGGATCGTCCACTTTTAATCTTTTTTAGACTTAATCTTGTTTGCGAGGTTCTACAGTTGGTAAGAGCGTTGGCTCTTTAATGACGTAATTTGCTCGGTTTCATCTTGGAGTAATCCAAGGTTTCTTCGAGCGAATCGCGGCTGTGGATTCAATTCTCGATCGGCGTGTGGTAGTCCGATGACCTTGAATAAGTCAGTTTCAATCATAAATCCAGACGATCAAGCTGTAAATGGGTACGGATAATCCGGGAAGGATCTTTGCCAAGAGGTTTGGCCAAGGATTAGACCGACAAGTTGACTCTAAATGATATTAGCCTAGGCCTAGGACCACCAGGTAGACAATTAGACAATTATGGAATAAGATGTACCTTACCACAACTTGGCATTAGTCTATGTACTTGTGTACAAATTAGATAAATGTCCATCAGACGGGTATTTTTACTCAAACTACGCTGCCATCTTTATAAAATTTGTTGAGCCCAAGGTGTCATTGGTTGAGTCAATGAAATTCATGTCTTTTGATTGGCTGAAATGTTCGATGACAATAAATCTTATATAAGATGGCGACCGTCTTCTAGATAGCTTCAAGCTTGATTATTGGTTTATTCTATCGAAAAAAGGATGGTATGGAGCTGACCTCATAGGTCCACAAGAAAATTGTCAGTTTTTGGAGAAAAAAAATCTCAAGGAAGAAGTATAATTATTTCCGAGGGCATTGAGAGACAGGATGTGTCAGTCTAGCCGAGGACCACCTGGTAGAAAGGATCCATAACTGTGAACCAAAGTCGTTATGCTTGTAAAATATAGTTGTTTCTTTCGTTTTCTATTCTTTTCAATAGGTCTTATATAAATAGTCTAAGCGTTTTTCCACAGACATGAGCTTAATCGGATAGAAACTCTAGCATTTATTGCAGTAACGAACTATGGAATCCGAAAATTCGAGTTGTGAAATCCAAAATTTCGACATGTGGAATCTAAAATTTCGAGTTGTGAAAAATATATTCAGAAAAATGAAAATAAAAATACTTTTTTTTAGGTTTTACTTAAAGGCTTTCGAAAAATGAACGGAAAGACAACTAGGACTAGAAATGTGTGATTTTTTACAACAAAAGAACAATTTTTTTTCTAACCCACAGAGATTTTATCGTTTTCACGTGGCATCTACATTTTATCAATGTTAACGCCATGAAGATATAATTGGGTCATATTTAAGATTTCAATGCTGTTATCCAAATAGGGCCGACTATTACTATCTATTTATTACACTGAACATAATAAATCCATATATAAATATAAAATACGTATGTGTATTTCTCAATGTCCACATATATAAATATTGCTACTAACTATTTCAATGTCGTGTGCGTCATTACTTTATTCCCCAGATAATTTTAGTATTTTAGTCATCAATGACATTGGTCACTATGACTTATCGTATATTACGACAGACCATCCTTCTTGTTTATTTTTGACTTCAGTAATGTCTTTAACGTAATCGCATTTTAGCAGAAAATGCAACCTTTCTTACCTCAGAACACTCTGAGAGATAACATAACCAGAAACGTTTCTCGCATTCATGCTAGAATTTAAAATTTTTACCATAAACTTCGCATCTGAAAGAGACTATACCGAAACACTTGCTTTTATTCCAGCTTCTTGTAGCTTGTTGATGGCTGATGCAAAGGCAGGGAAACTAGGCCATGTTTGGTGGGAATTTTCCGCAACTCCATAACAGCGAGGTTTTTTTTTATACCTATTTATTTAAATCGGATCCGACAAACCCATATTCGGATACAATCATGTATATGGATAATTTTGTATTTATATCATACCTTCATTATTTCCTTACACCATTTGTGATTCCGTCGAAAGAAATTAATCTCTCGCCTGCCATTTAAGATTGCATGCGTAACCAAAAGTTCAAGGTTCATGTAATACTAACAAAACGAAAGTAACGCTGATGCTCAATACTAATTTAAAGTTATCGAGTCAAAGAGAAAAACAAAGAAATTATAACAATATTAATTCTGATAAGATATAAATTATTATATGCTTACAAATAGGAAAGACAGATAACTCATATAATGCCGGAGAGTAGAATGGGTTCTAATCTGACATGGACAGGTATTTTAATAGTCCGAAACATCTGCCTGTGTTCCAGCATCTGATAGGTATTTTGACAACAGTTTTTATCGACTGGAGTAAAAAGAAAAGCTAGGTCCAGTTTAATAGGGATTTTAAACACCACCTGGAAGATGCGATTTTTTTAATATAATATTAAATTTCCTTTTAGTTCCTAGAAACTCATATGCAAAGCACTGTTATGTTAATATCACTTGACTCTTTAACCTTTGAACTTTTGGCCGCACAAGCAGTTTTAAACAGCCGACAAAAGATTAGTTTTGTTAAAAAAACACATTTCGATGGACTGGAAAATTCCCATGAAATAGGGTCTTGTGTTTTTGATTCTTCAAAATAGCTATCAGAGGCTTGAATAGAGGCAGATGTTTCGGTCTAATATTTAAGTATTTTATTGTATTCTAAAAGAGGTAGTTAATCCAATTAGTTGACTGTGTCAAAAGACAATATTATTGGGGTATGATACTGCAGGTGATATACAATGATTATTATATTATGCCTAAAGACAATATTAACAGTGTTTATATTTTCTTTAATGAAGTCCCCTGAGCAATATCTACAGTGACCTTGACTTATTGCTCAGTAATTATGTTATTCGCTTCCAGGCTTTTCTACTGAACCTTCAGTAGAGAACCAACTTACTGACTACAGTCAAGATTATTTGGAGGTTTATTTACATGCAATATCGGTAAACTTGACATGAAGTTTCATTTAGTGTCGACTCTCCTGAAGAAGCACCGAAGTAGCGACTTCTTATTTCAGCATGAAAATAAATCAATTTGAAGAGCATATTTTTTTCTGAAAAGTATTCATGGAATTATTACTTCTGGAGAGATTTACAAGATATCAAAAGTCATTGTCTCAGGGAGTTGGTGAAAGGGGATCCAATCTTCCGCTGTATTTGCAATGAACCTGAGCTGTTAACCCTTGTTATTAAAATATTTCATAACTGTATAGAACTATAGAGCTATTTATACGGCCACACATTAATGTGGCCCGCCCAGCTGCCTGATTACCTGTCTGTCTTCGACAATTATTATGGGACACAATATAAAGAGGGTTGGTTTCTTGATGGATTTTGACAAAATTTTGTGTGTGTGTTTGTAAACATTCAAGGATGAACCCTAATAATAATTAGACAAATCTAAATATATTTATTAGAGTTATTGCCCTTGTTCGTGAAATTTGGACACGATAGAGAGTTGGTTTCTTGATGGATTTTTTTGATAAAATTTGGTGTCAGTATTTGCTATCACTTTATGATGAACCCTATTGAAACTCAGGCAAATCATAATATTCTAAAAATAAAGTGGACAACTAATGTTTATGTTTTACTTCGCAACCGCGTTAACATAAAAAAAATCTTTGCTACACCATTCAAGTCAATTGTATGCTGGCAAAGAGGAAGGGAGGCAACCCATTGTAATCGATTCTACAAAAATCTCACTTTATAACATTTCTTAGCATTTTAACTCTTTCAATTGAATCGTTTTGAAACAAATGCACTATCAGAAAAATAATTGAGGTTATCTATGCTGTCGGACACTTCTTTCACAGAATGTTGGTGAAAGGGGATGTTGATGTATCTAATTTACAGATTAGTTGTTTTAGGAGGTGAGAGACAAAAGGTTAAGGATAGTTATTTATTTCGTTAGTCATTGGTAAGATCTTGGAATAAGTGTCTTCCTTTAAAAAATATTTAAGACGTTATCTGAAATCAGAATTGTTATTAATTGGGCATCACAGCATTTAAACATGGAACATAATCTTTACATAAAAACTCAGAACATTTATAGTCATTTACACACGGACCTAGTTTAATCGGGTGTAGAAAATGATTATTATAATGAAATATTTCTTGAGCGTAGTTCCTATCAGTATACCAGAGGTAATCACCTTGTAGTTTATACACATTTTTAGATCTATCTAAACCATATATAGTGGTAGGTATGGCTATTTCTAAATATACACCATGGGTATTGAATATACTTATTATATAGCTAAATTCTTGACTTAATCTCTTAGGTACATAAAATATATCAGATGCTTGATAATAAAAACCTTGATCACTTCCCGAATTCCAAGTAAGTTGATTTAAAAAACTCTTTAATGTGTTATCCGATTTAGCCAATTTACGTAACGTTTTGAATGATTCAATCAGGCGGTGTCGCCCGAAGCTACTCTCCCATGGCCACCATGATTTATTACGCCAAATATCAACAACGGTTTCCTGCTCTAAGTCGGCTGTTTTAACCTGGTGTTGAAACCAGAATTTGTCTTTAGGAAGATTAGCAAGATTCCACACATTAAATAACACGTCATCACTAAGATGGAGGTAACCATCAACATCATAGTTCATTCTGATGGCATTCTGAATACATTGATAACCTTGTTGTCCAACGTAAAAATTGTCTAGCATTTCTATAAAGGATACTGGATACTCCAATGATCTAGCACTATCTTGAAAGTCTTTGATATTGGTTCCACAGTATAGAATGTTGTTAAACACCGGGCGGTATAGTTTTTCTAAATGTTCGACTATGTTGTAATAACCTTCTCTATTGAATACTATAACCAGTAAAATGTTACTCTGTTGTGTTGCCTTTTCAACCGAAGCAGGACATTTATGAGAATTTTCAACACAGTTAAAGATATTTTCGAAATCATTTACTCTATTCTTTGAAACTGGGGGAGCATAAACTAAGTTGTATTTTGGTTCCATATCAATGTCTTTGGACCATTCTGTCACTTCAGCATCTGATATTTTATACCCAGATTCAGTTAAGCTGTAGATCCAGTGGAAAATGTCTCGAAACTCTTCGTTAGATATCAAATTTAGTTGTAGCATGTGTTTGCTTAGAGATAACACACAGCAAAATAACTGATCTTTAGAACAGTAGGGTTGCCATTCATCTAGTTCATCAGATGATGTGCCCATCTTTATCTCCATCTTACTCTTATTTCCTATTAGCACTGACATATCCATATGTAATGTTTTAAATATAGTTTGTGTCCACAAACTCCATGCCTCTTCGTTCCTTGTCAAAGGGTAGATTGTCCAAAATGTTTCGTATCCAAACAATGTTTCATATTTTGATACTGTTATATCACTTTTTGGAATAGATCCTGGTAAACCATAATTTGAAACAATTTCTGGATAGGTCAAAAGTGTTTTATCCACATACTTCTGAATATGTGGAGATTTTCCTACTTGAAACCGGAAAGGTTGTTTTGGATACAAAAGCTTCTCCGCCCAAGTCTCTGAATTATGGAGGATCATTTTCCAAGAAAAAAGTCTAAGATCAAATTCAGACAAAATATGCCTTATCTCATCAAATGAATCTCGTTTTGTTAAAAATATATATTTTCCACCACGTTTCATGATTTCTATGACAGCAAGTTGTAAATTTATATTTTTTTTTATACACCCATCGCTACAAAAAAGAGTTTATATAGAATTACATTTTCATCAACTGAAAAGGAGGTCACTGTTATAAAGACAAGTATTTTTTTCTTGGAGCAGCTGTCATCACTATGCGACTGGGTTGGTCAATTCGTCTTTTCTGATTTAATTTTATTAGAGAAATTTGTTGTACAATTACCTTCTATTATCTGTATTTAGATTGTAAATATTCCACACTATATTTTGCACTTTGGTTGTGTTATAATTATGTTTCGAACATGCGGTATTAATAATCCAGCATTCATTCTCATTCAAACTGTAAATAAAAGAAAGGGATAACTCGGGGCAACGGTTACTGATCCTAATAATAACTCTGTGCAATGGGTACTGATCCTTATGATAACTAATAATAGATACTAAATGGGACTTCACGTCCTCCTATCTTGGTGTATTTTGCATACCAAGGGGGGTATTCACTAAAGCCATGTTAATTTTGTTAATTTTGGCTTTAAGTGGCGTTTGTGTGTTATTGTGGTGTTGCAAACTTAGCGTAGCGCGCTTTTCACAGAAGCCCCCACAAACTTAAAGCACGATGGAGGCTCCAGCCGCATAAAAAGGACGTTTTACAAACCTAGAAGTCGCTGTACTGCTTGATAACATTGACAAACATTATTGCATATTAAAGGGATTTTAAAGAGGTTTTCTAAATTTTTTACGTGTAGGCCTATCGGGGACACTGATAGCTTCAATTTGCACCATTCCAATTTTCATTTCGACGTCTATTCTTGCAATTCCACTGAAACTAACGCGTTTTTCATAAAACTCTATGCGATAGCTCAGCGTTTTGGAAAGGACATTTGTTATTTGATAGGAGGCGATACAAAAATCTCAGTGCTCTGGTGGTCAATGTTTATAACGCTATGTGAAACAGCCACAGTTGAAATTTTTAAGTCCCTGATTGCTGATATACATTAAAACAAATTACCTGGGTAACTGATCAAGTTCGTATTCCTGTAACTGGCTAAAATCTGAATTCCTTCGAATTCTTGCACAGATTTCTAAGACACAATATCCTAATACTAACACTACTAATAAACACAAAACCTGTCTTCTTTTTGGTGAAAACCTACATCTCTTCATCTCGACAAGTGATTAAGAGACTATTGCTATAATATATTTCTATTGCAATTTATTTATTAATTTTTGTGATTAGTTGTCAATTTGATTGATTTATGGTGAAAACCTTTGATCAACCGCAAACTATTAATAATCTCAGTATCCTGCTTCGACCTGGTTTAAACAATATGTTATTCGTTAACTTAGTTTTAGTGGGTACATATCAGTTCTTCTGTGTGGGGCTGAGCCGGGTCTGGTTAATGTTATGATGTTTTTTGGTACTGATTTTGGTTTGGAATTGGTTGGTTATTAGGTCATAGGTGCTTAAAGCACGGACTATAAAATAGTTTATACAAAACACTAATATATAAACTTTATTTGGCACTAAGGACTATGCAATGTGAATAAGAAAATTACAAGATTGAATAGTGAAACTCAATTCCATTCATAAACAAAATAAAGTCGCAATAAAAATCAAATAAAAAATCGGAAAGTTTTGATGGTGCGACTTATTGGGTGCACATTCTTCTGCAATCATTTAATTATGACTTTATTTATTTCAGATTATACTAATGCAATATATTTTCTAACCAATTTACGACTGTAATTCTTGAGAGGATTTGGGGAAATCTAGTAAAGTTACCCATGGTCTCCGAAAATATATGTGGCTATAACCAAATAATCGAAATATTTTATTTTGATGATATATGCTGCTCTTCAATTGTCCGAATTTGAACGCCAGCTGGCGTATGTTATCTTGATATACATACATGAAATATGCTTCTAATTAATTTGGCACAAAGTAGTAGCGAAGTCTTTATTCTGAATTCACTTTCAGGAATTAGACAATGGCATGTCATTGAAATGTTAATGATAGCTTGCCAGGCAAGGTAATATACGACCACTGGCAGCTTTGATTTTGAATAAAAATATTTAGCAGTACATTAACAAACACCAGTATGAAATATTCAACCTTAAGTCATACACTTCTTTTGAACTCTTTAGGGCGATACTGAATAATACTGAGTATGAGTTATTGCCCTTGTTCTTGAAAACGTGTTCAATTTTTAGCTCGTCAAATCTCTAGAAGGCAAATATTCAATTTTCAGCTCGGTACTGAATAATAAAACCAAGTTTTGTCAAAACCTTTTACTAAGTGTTTAAGAGCTAAAATGAGGTCAATAACTCCTATGAAACATATTCCGATTTGTTTGTTTTTCGATAGGGTCAAGTTTCGTCAAAATCTGTCAAGAATTGAGCCTTCTAGAATGTTTACAAGCTAAAAATTGAACGCGTTTTCAAGAGCAAGGACAATAACTCATACTAAAATTTTTCGATTCTTCTGATTTTCAATAGGGTTCATCCTTGGGTGATAACAAACACTCATGCCAAGTTTCATTAAATTCCGTCAAGAATTGTGCCTTCTAGAGTGTTCACGAGCTAAAAATTGAACGAGTTTTCAAGAACAAGGGCAGTAACTCATACTAAATATTTTTCGATTCTTCTGATTTTCAATAGGGTTCATCCTTGGGTGATTACGAACACTCATACCAAGTTTTGTCAAAATCCGTCAAGAATTGTGTCTTGTAGAGTGTTTACGAGCAATTGTGGATGGACATATGGACGGACGGACGGACGACGAACATGGGTGACGGCAATATATTTCTAAGGAGTAGTATACCATAAAATTGTGTTCCGTTATTTAATGTGATCTCTACCCCTAAATGTCGCTAAAGGATTAATATATTTCATGTGGGCGTATAAAAAATAAAAGATTTAAAATTAATAATTTAATACTAAGAAGAATATAGACAAGGAATATAACGTTGACAAATAAATTTTTGACAAGTAGCATCAGCAATACATGGAGCTAATTTCATAGAATGCATGTAAATATCTTTATAGTTATATTTCAATTGATACAAATTACGATCTTGGTACCACAAATAAGAGCCATTCATTGTTACAATATTCTCATTTAAATCTAAACCATTAAAAATAGTAGGAACAGCTATCTCTAAGTGAACATGAGCAGCATCAAACACACTAGCAAAGTAAATAAAATCTTGAGCAAATCTTTTGGGAACATAAAATATGTCCGAAGCTTCGTAATAAACTCTGTCAAAACCACCAACATTAGTCGACAACATAAACATAAACTCTTTGGCGCGGGTTTCCAAATAAGACAAGTTTATGAGTGACGCAATGGCGGCTTTGGCAGCAGTTCGACCGTACACAGTAGTCCATGGACCCCAGTGAGGATGCTTCCATATATCTGGAACTACGTGCATAATAAAGTGGGCTATTCTCATATTTTTCTGAAACCATAGTTTGTCTTTTGGAAGTTCTGCTACATTCCAAACATTGAGTAAAACATCGTCACTTAAATGAATATATCCATCAACATCAAAGTTCATCTGCATGGCTTTCTGAAGACATTCGTATCCATATTGCCCTAAATTAAAATCTACTTCAATAAAAGAGAGTTTTTTATTCAAGAGATTATAGATGGAGAGGAAGTTATTCATATCGTGGCCACAATAAATCATTTGTGGAAAGAATGGCCTATACATCCTTTCTAGATAGTCTACAACACCATAATGTCCTGGTCTATTGAATACTACCACTAGTAACAGATTATCATAGGTAGGGATTTTACCGCCATTAGTTCTTCCAACCTCTTGACATGTACCTGTTCCTCCGACACACATTGGTGCTATAGACATATTCATTTTACTCAGACTTCTATCAACCCTAGCAGCAGGCCAGTATATAATCTGGTTCAGTGGTGGTACGAACGGTCGTGGTAGGTTTGGAAACACCCTCGCTGGTTCTTTATATCCAACTCTAGTTAAAGTTTTAATGAAATTCTTTATCATGCCACTGGCTTCATCGGGAAATTGTCCAGCTGTTGTCATGTGATATGATAGTAGTTCTATACATTTGAAAAACGGTGCTCCTGGCAAGCAGATCCATTGGTTTAATACTGTAGTTATTTCCAGTATTTTCTGGGTATTCATTTGTTCATACCTAACTAAAGACCGAGCTTTCCTTGGTGCCATGAATCCTACTTCGCTTGCCAGCTCTTCCAACAACTTTTCTATCATCATAGACCATACGGTATAATACTGCATATCGACTGGCGCTAATGCCCAAAACGTATCATAAAAATATAATGTTCCCTTGAGTGAAAATGGATGATAGTAATCTTTCGGTAGAATAATTGGTGGTGCTTGTTTATCAATATTTTCTGTACTTTCTCCAGCATTTAATAACATCTCTTCTGGTACAAAGGTTTGGATCATTGGTGTTTTCAAACCTCCAAGTCGGTAGTGTGAGTTCAGGTTTTGACTGACTGCTGACGCCTTGTGCGAGTTCTTAAAATGGGCTTCAATATTAAAACTGGAGGCGTTTCCGGTATAGTCCATTCCGTAAAACAATGGAGTCAATTTTAATTTTGGTAGCTCTTCTTCTACAGTAAAAGCATTATCAGAATAATAGATAAATTTAGCATTATTTTTGATTGCTTCAAGCACCCCATCCATTGATTCTCGAGACCGACAATTATTACACCTGAAATCAGAAAGAATAATACTAAAATATATCCTCTCCAGCAACATCCGTTGAAGTTTATGTACCTAACATTCTTCATGCAACAAATAATTATTCTTACCATTTTCATATGCAATCTGGATCCGCAGTGTTTTAGGTGGCGATGATTTCTTAAATTTCTCCCAGTGATCAATCAATTTCTAAGACATTAATACGCTATAATTGCTTTTTATTCGAAATGTTTGAAATCCTACTCTTACTTACTTTAAGGTCTTTCTAGATTTAGTAGTATCCATGACAAGAGCTGACCAATCTTGTCTATCATCTAATAGTTTCATATGATTAATATTAATATCTGTATTATCCATTATAATCCAATTGTCTTTAGCAGCTATTCTGAAATTTATCAATATGATATACATCAATGTCACTATTAAGTACGAGATTCACAAATGACTGTTGTGCATCAAAATCCTTTCCCTGGTTTTAAGAAACCAAGACGTGTCTTTGACTATTATATAAATTTGTTATTATTTGCTCCTTTTGACATCAGCAGCACCCTGCTTTTATTCGGTTTAATCCTACCAAATATTTTGAAAACTGGAAATCGCAGAAAAATGTCTTGTCTCATTGACATTTGGTTGGAGTAAGGTTAGCCAATAGATATAAAAAGTTACAACAAACTGCTTACCTTCTAGTCTGTTTATCATCTGTAGATGCTGGTACTGTTATAATATCATAATTATCTAATATAGTCATACTGTTAATTATTAATAGTGATATTACTGCTACTGATATCAGTTTAAACCAATACCACCAATGACGACATATTATATTAATCAACATCTACAAATGATATATAAAGACACGTTGTACTGTGAAAGGATTCGTTTGGGTTCATAAAACGAACAATGGCAGAGCATCATTTAGGCTACGGACGATTTGAGAAAGAAAAATATTTCACTATGTTAAAACAACACATCTTAACAGTGTGGCTAAATAGCGCACAGAAGCCCAAACAATGGTAAATAAAGAGCTCAACGAACACAGAAAACATTAATTATATTACTACAATATTAAAATATAAATAATCTGAATATGTTGTTGAACAACATAATGTTTTCGGATTCAATTTCAATAATTTTAAAGGCCATAACTTTATTTTGGACCTTGCATTTTGTGTAAATAAAAATCGCTTTATCCCTTCGAATATACCTCAAATCAGAAATTACACGTTTTATTTCTATAAATGCCTTTTTTATTTATTGGGTAGTCTCAAGAACAGACGATATTTTAACTTTTCTGGATACACATGGATTTGAAGGCTCAAAGTTCGATGGTGAACTGTGAACACTATTGCTGATTACTTATTACTTAAAATTGCCGTTTCTAAGGCTAAGTTACAATTGGTCAAACGTATGGCGAACATGTCCCTTTAAAAGGTAATATTCGAAGTTGAATTCAGTAAAAGTACATATTATTTTTTTCTTAGATATTCTTTGCTCACCCATATCTCCTGCATTCCCTTTGGACTGGCAAACCAAGACCAGAAAGTAAGAAAATTAAAACAAATAAATACAATTAAGTAGGCAGAGATGAATCTCAAGCCAAAGTTTTCGAAAATAAATCTTTTTAACGATATTATAAGTCTATGAGTTTGCTTACTTAAATTAGTTTATAATTTTTAAAACTTTACCTTCAAGATAGGTAGCTTTCTCCTTGTGAAAATTGGATAAAGAATGAAGTCACCCAATCCATTTATCCAATATCATCGTGAAAAAAAAATGGACATTTGAAAACGTGGCCCATTAAAGGGATTAGAACAGCTGAAGCTCTATAGCAGGGCTACGACTGTGTCCTACCCCCTACTATTTTTTTTTTATATGATATGGATTATGTTCACAATGAACGTTATCATCAAAGCAAAAGATGTTACGCTCATATAATTTATCATTTAAATCTAAGTTAAATAGAAATCACCCATCATCTGAAGCCAAACCTATGATATTGATATGTCTATCAATAACTATGATTATTCAATTCTAAATAATTATTAACTGTTTATTTTTAATTTTACGATTACAGAAGGCACCAATGATAAAATAAGACAGGGAATTCCGAAACAGTGCGGGTACTGACCTTTACTTTAGTGAAATATGTACCGACCCCAGGTGCAGATATAGTCACTAACAACTTATTTAAATTCATTAAAGGACTACTACAACTTAGAAATGAAACTTGGTCAATAAGAGTATATTCACCAGGTGAACCTACCAGGTACCATGTCTAAATGTAACTAAATAATGAATGACAAACGCTTCTTAGTTTGTTTCCGAAAGAGTGTGCGTACTGACCTTTACCACAAATAAGGCTTTACTTCGGTGAAATATGAAGCAATTCTTGATTGAATGGATGAACAGTATTTGAGTTACGGTATTGACTAAACATAGACCAAATTTGGCTTGTAGACACAACTGATCCAGATGGAACTGTATGACGAGATCTTGGTCAATTTTGAATTTGAAAATTATTATGTGAACGGTTTTTTGTAGTAGGAACCTATTGCCCTTGACTTAGTTAAACGCATGAAACTTGGCTTGCGATAGACACCATATGAAACCACGCATGGTTCTTACATGGAAATAACACGCACGAATACAGTACACATACATTTTGAATTATTACCTCGACTTTTAAAGTTAACTTTTATAAAGGCTTAATATATCAACAAGGCTTTAAATAAAAAGCAATTTAAATGTGATTTGAAGGCTTAGTTGATATTTTATAACTTTTTTTCAAACTGAGGCTGAACAAGCTGTTACTAATTAATGGTAACGGGTGTCCGTATACTGTAGTTACAATAGCACAATTTTAATGTCAAGCAATATTTTAGGATTTTTTAATAGGCCTCACTGATTTTCTAATCACTATCAGGATAAAAGTTGGACATTCTACGACATTGTTTAAACAGTCAGTAAGTAATTTAAAATTTCGTCATTACCGGTAAAAACTGGACAGTTTAAGGAATTAGCCTACTTGTTACGAGTTGTAGGAATGATACGTATTTCCTAAATTTCAGTAATTATATGTAATTCCTCATTTCACCTATTTACTGTAACATATACACTGATGAGAAATCGACCAAGTTCGAACTGAGCTAATATTGGATAAATGGCTTTTGACAGATTGCCCTTGACTTAATAAAAACGAGTGAAGTTTGCCTTAAAGATACCATAGAGCCTGCGTTTTTTCAATCCTTTCTATAAAATTCGGTTTCCATGTATAGGCCTATATTTATTAGATCTAGTCAAGTTTTAGTTTAGCTATATTTCGTTCGTAAATGGTCTAAAATAAAACTGTATAGTGAGCAATATTAATTGTCCTCTTTCTCAATTCTTTGGTAAGCAATATTGTCCGGTGAGCATTTTCGGATTTCTCGTATAACAAGTGGTTGTCTAGCAAGATACGCCCACTTTCATGATACATTTTCAGAATATCAAGGGCAGTCACCAATCCGTGTCAAGTCGAACCAAAAATCTAATTTGTGCAAGATGTTGTTGATTTAAACAAACACATATTATTTAATAAAATTCTGACATAAACTGTCACCTCTTTCGCCAACAAATTTTGATGCGTTTTTACTTCAAATTCAATCTTGACTAAGATCTCATAATTATAAGTGATCATACCAAATTTCATTTAAATCGGATGAAAACTGTACTCTCTATTGTGTTCACAAACAAATTTTGACGCGTTTTTCATAAATCAAGGGCAATAACTCAAAAACCATTCATCGAAAGATAGCCAAATTCGAACTTGTCCAAGATCTTATTATTATAAATAGTAACACCAAATAATTTCCTTTTAAATCGGATGAAAACAGTAGTCTTAGTAGTATATGAGCTCATAGATTGGTCGGATTTTTCCACATTCCATTTCATTTCATGGGAAAAATCCAACCAATCTATGAACTCCCAAAAAAAACAAGACCTAAATTCCCTACATTTCATAAATTCTTACAGCAAAACACCTTACATTTCATAAAACATCCTAAATTCCCTACATTTCATACACCAAAAAAACCACCTTCAATCAATTTCCTAAATTCCATGAAAAAAAAGCATATTAGAAATACCCTTATAAAATAACATAACATTTTTTAATAGCCTCGTTTTAAGTAATGTTATTTTTAAGGGAGATAACTCTTTTTTGGAAATTTTCTACTCAAATTTTAAACCTTAAAAATGGCAAATTAAAATACTAGATCCAATCTTTAGATTATACGATGCGATTCGTTAAACAAGAAAAAAGAGGATTATATTATCATCTCACCCACTGTTGGTTCTAAATCCCAATTGAATGATGGTGGTAGAATTACCTTCGAAATAAATTCATTATCTAACTGGTTGCTTCTTTCCGATGCTTATTTCAGATGTGATTTCAAAATTAAAGATGGAACTCAGAATCAAGTTCCACAAACAAATACAACTTTAGAAAACAATTTCTTTCTTTATATCCTAAAGATTTCGATTCAGTCTCAGGTTGGATACCCGATGTTGGTGATGGAAGTGTTTTAAAAGAACCGGAAAGAAATGTTGCAAATGATGCCGATTTAGATAGAGTGAGAGTTGTTGCTCGAAACACAATAGAAAGAGTATGACGAGCAGCTAATCATGGATTTGAAAAACGAGTACTTCAATATAATAATATTGTTGAGAATAATAGGTGGGGTAATTACGTAAATTGGAAATTATATCCTTTATTCGGTCTGTTGGAACATAGAAAAGTTTCCATAGGGTTACCATATAAAATTCATCTACAAAGAGAAATCAACGATGATAAGATATTCTTTGGAGAGAATGGTTCAGATGCAAAATTAGAAATAACGAATCTCCAACTTTTCATACCCGTAATAACACCATCAATTGAAGTAGAAACGAGAATATTCAACTCGTTAACTAAAGATATTGAAATAGCTTTTCTTCATCGTAACACGGTAGGTAGCATGACTTTAACGGGAGAATCCACCACATGGCCAATCACCAACACTATTAAACCAGCAAGATATTTAATAGTTGGTTTCAAGAACTTACCAGATTCTCAAACGAATAACAATAATGTCTTTAGAGTGGCAATGAACCAAACTCAAAATCCTTTAATCCATTAAGTTCAAGTAAGATTAAACAACGATAATTATCCTAACCAACCTTTAACAATTAATCCAACCACAAAGGATTATAATGAATTGTATAGAAACTATAAAAACATGTGTGAATTATTTGGAAATCTACCTCAGTTTGAATATGTAGATTCTGTTTTGATCTATCAGCTCACCGAGAAGATCTTTTCAAAACAGGAGTCAACATAAATATTCATATTGAAAAAACACGTGGAGATGTAACAGATTATTGTTTATTATTGGAAGAAGCAAAACATTAATTAAAAAAGCAGATAGAAGAATGATAAGAATTGAGTAAAAAATAAACCTTTAAAAATTGAAACCAGAAACTTTAGTTATGAAAATAATAGAAGCTATTGAAACAGCTTCACCAACTACAATAACTTATAATGGTAAAAAAATCAACATAACTAAAAAACTTATTGATAAATATAAATATTGTAAAGTCAGAGACGATATAGACTTAGAAAGAATTGACGCGAACGCAAAAAAGGTGGATTTATATTTTCCCTACCTTTAATATTTGCTGGTATTACCGCGACGGCTACAGCTGGTGGAGTAAGCGTTGCCAACGAAAAGAAAGCTGCTATTGCAGAAGCTGCTGCTACAAAAGCTGTTGAAGAAAAGAAAGTAGCCGAAGAACATAGACATAATTTAAGATTGGAAAAGTTGGCAGCAGAGGGTAAAAAACCTAAAACGGAAAAGTTGGCAGCAGAGGGTAAAAAACCTAAAACGGAAAAGAAAGGTTCAGGAGTTGGAGATATGATAGGCACAATGAAAGAATTTGGAAAAAGATTTAGTGAAGAAACCAGGAAAACTGTTAAACAAGGATTAAATAAATTAGTAGATAGTATTGACACGGGAGAAATCAAAGTCAAACATAAGGGTAATGGAATATTGTAAAAAAATATACACACTGGAGAAGGAATATATCTTTCAAAGTATAAAGGAGAAGGAGTGATTTTTGGAAAAAATTAAAATAATAAAAAAATGGGTAAAAAATTCAATCATTCAGAAATATTTCCTAATAACCCAATGCTCATGTGTATATGCGGTAGTTCCGGTTCTGGGAAAACTCATCTCACTTTTAACATGTTGACAACACCAAACCTTTTAGATTTCGATTCTTTATATATCTACACAACAACACCAGAGCAATCGTATTATCAATTTCTCAAAGCTTTAGAATATCTACCAAAGAAAGATGTTCAATACCTATTTCAATATTACGAAGAAAACGAAGAAAACGAAGAAGAAGTGGAAATAAAAGATATCTTAGATAACTACATCGAAGGAAAGAAACCAACGGATATAAAAGTTTTTCTTACGAAAAATGTTAATGACCTAGACTTGTCTAATATTGATAGCAAACGAAAGAACTTAATATTGTTTGAAGACTGCGTAGCGCAAAGAAATCAAGCTGTTCAACAAGAATTCTTCACGAAGGGAAGACATCACAACTGTCACTGCATATACCAATCCCAATCTTTTTACGGGATGGATTCTATGTTTTTTAGAAAAAATGCAAATTGTTTTTTATTATTTGAATTAAACGATAAAGATTTATCTCAAATCATTCAGTCGATAAATCACGGAATGGACAGAGATGCATTCAAAAAGGTTTGTAAAGCTCAATGGAAAAACCCAGATGATCATGGATATATATTCGTTAATACTAGAAAACCTGCGGGTGAAAGAGTTATGACAGACATTTGTTAAATTTTATTTTTTTAAAAATGGATAATTGGAATAATATTTTAAAAAGAAATAAAGAATATATCAAAGCTAAGAATAAAATAAAGACCCAAGTTGAAAATAACAGAATACAACAACTCGGATTAACTACAAACTCTATTTCAACCCATATTAAAATCTCAAGAGGATATTAAAAAGAAATTAGAACCTAAACAAATTCAACAATCACCGGTTCCTTCTATAGAATATCCCATTAAAGATGATGAAATCATAATTAGGTCATTATATGATATAAATCATTATTTTTCAAACCCTGACCCAAATTTACCAAAGACCATTTCACCAATCGTTGATAAAAAAGGTTTATTGTTTAATGGATTTAGAATACTATTTAGTAATGTTTACCCTTTATTCGAAATCGATAAAAAAGACTTTATATTTACAACAACAGAAGGTTTAATGAATGGCGGGGATATTGAGATTGCCAAACGCAAGGATTTAGTAGAATACTTAAAATTTCTGTATATGATAAAGAATAAGCGCAAAACAAAAAGATTGATGGCAGTTGAAACATATTTAAATAAAGTTATTCCTGATGAAGAGGAATCAGATGATTATGCAGAAGATTATCCACCAATCATACAAGAAATAGATGAATTCGAAGATATGGTATCTGGAGAAGGTATAACGTTTTTATCCGACAACAACGAGGAACTACTTAATAGATTACAAATTATATTAGCGGCAATGGAGGAAGGACATCGATCGCACAGACAATATAATGAAGTGAATTGTATATTAAAAAGACTCATAGAAAAAGGTATCATAGATAAAAGTGATTATAAAAGCGTGATTAAAAATGTCAAATAAAGAACAACTATTCGCCATCACCTCAAATAAATCAGACATTAAATTATCTCTAGATTATGAGTACGAACTCGATCGCAATCAAGAATATGAATTGGGATTTAAGTATTTCTCTGTTTACAATTCCATTAGAATATCAACGAAAAAAATAACCAAATAAAAATATCAACAGATAACGGAGTTACGTTCAAAACCATACGTTTACTACCAGGAAGCTACGAATACATAGTCATTAACGAATACCTATCTGAATATGGAGGAAGTATTAATGGTAAAACAATATTGAATTCGAAGGTAATTTGAATCTGAACAAAATAAAATTGATATTAAGAAATAATAGTCAAGTTGATTTCAACGTAGAAAATTCATTGAATACGTTACTAGGATTTGATAAACGAGTATACACCCAATCCACTTTAGCACCACACAAAGCTAATGTCGAGAATGATATCGATGTGATAAATATACATTGTAATTTGATAAACGGTGGATTTTTCAATAAATACAAACGTCAGATTATTTACAGTCTTCCAACATTCACTGTTCCTATTGGATATAGAATTATAGAGAAACCATTTCAAACGACGTATTTACCACTTAATTCCTTTATGATTAAAGATATAAATCTGGAAATTAAAGGTGGTAAAAAAAGGTTTATAGATTTTGGTAACGAGGAAATTGTTATTCAACTTCATTTAAAACAAAAGAACTAAATTTATTCTGATGGATCATCATCATTAGATATATTTGTAAAAAAAATACTCAAAATCATCAAATACCTAATCATCATCCAAACACATCTCATCTTTGTTGTTGTAAGGATACATGATTCCTTCACTGTTTGGTGCTTTTCTCTTAACGAGATTCAGATAACTTCTGAAAACTTTCTTTTGTTTTTCATTAGGAATAACTATTCCATCAGTAAAACTTCTTACCCAAGGTTTATCAAATTCATTCGTTACGTCATGTCCGCTAGCTAATTGAATGTAGTCTTCTACCTTAATCTTATAGTTAGAGTAACCCTTAAACGTTTTTATTTCTTTTAAAACACCTTCGGAAGTTAGAATGATATTGTATTTTACTTTTGGCGCTAAATATAAACCAAATATGATTCCACCATCACCATAATCATTCTTCCCTTTGCTATATTCGTTTTCAGACACCAACCCAGCTTCATTTAATTTATCCCAATTGCTAGAAGAAATGTAAAAACTATCGGTATCCGTATAGTATATTTCAGGCTTATAAAATCCATCTATAACGTGAATGAAATTGTTCATTATTTTTTTACTGGGAGATAATATAAATGCACCTAAATGAGTGGGTGTTAATCTAGTAAAATCCTTTGGAGGAACAAACTCTTTTACTTCGTCTTTAATCTCAAGATATATTGGGTCTCATTTACTTTTTCATAGCTTTTGACGTGTGAATCATAGTTGGCTTTTAAAGTCGCTTCACTCCATAGATGTCTCGATGTAGTTATATCCTTCTGAATAGATTTACCGTGTAAGGAATTGCCTAATAATTTCATGCAATTACTAGCAACCATATCTCCTTCTTTTTTGTATTTATTCCTTAATTCCTTCAAAATTAAAATATAATCTCTATATGGGGGAGTTTTAAAATTTTCTTCGTATACTATTCCATCTAATATTTTAATAATTTTACCACCGGATTTCACTATTTCTTGAATATCAACTGATGTTAAAACGTTGTGACAGAAACCATTTCTGAACCTGATTTTACTCCCAGTTTCCTTCTTATCTATTCTATTCGTAAAAGTTATTTTATCTTTAGCTGGTATGGGTTGAAAGAACATGTTGGTAGGATATTTAAACCAGACTTTTAAAATAGCAGTTCTAGGTCTGAATTTCTGCTCATTAAAGAGCTTGACAAATTTTTCATTTTCCTCAAGTCGAAAAGGCCTGGCACTTTCCGCTTTAGGATATTCACCTTCTGTTATGGCGGAAGCGTACAACCCATTAGCGTCAAATGCCATTAGTTTAGAATAGTCCAACTCTTTGAGTTTAGCGTGAACTTCAGTTTTATCTTTTGGGTTAACACTGTATTCTTTGAATAAATCTATTATTCCTTCAGTTTCACTTTCATTGTATTCTTTTAATATGGCGCAGATCTCATTCATTTTATCCGTTTCAAATGATTTTCTGTTAGCAGAGACTCTCCCACCTTTAATACTTTGTCTGATAAAATATCTTATAAAAGGATGAGTATGTGAGTAAACTTTGTCTACGTTTTCTTTTTCGGTGTGTTTCGGAACGAGAATTGTCCTTTCATAATATGGTTCTTCAACCATTTCTTTATCGTAATGATATAAATAATACCAACCCTTTAAAGATAAAGAAGGAGCCGTTAGATTATTGGAAACGTTTTGGAAGACAGTTTTTTTCATTGCTTGATTGTATTTTATCAAACAAGCTCCGAGACACAACGTATCTCTTTTAGCGTAAGTTTCCCATTCGGGTCTTAAAGATTCCCAGGTTTCTTTGGTGAATTTTGCAATATTAATATCTGTGATCTTTCTCAAATTCATCGGTAGATTAGACGAATTTCCCCAGGCCGCCAAACTAGTGCTTTGATGTTTAAATGAACAGGTGAAAGATATATTTTGTAAATAGTTAGAGTTACTCATTATTTCTTTCTGTCTTTTCCATTTTTTCTGCAATCTTTCTTCTGTACATGAGTATGTTGTAATATTCTTCTGAAATGGGATCTGACGGCTTAAAATCTAGAGTCTCACTTAAATCACTTAAATAATTATTATAATCATCTAACCTTTTCCTCAGTTTTTCTAAATTAACTAAAGTACAACATTAAGGAATGGCTTTATTCATTTCTTTTTCGCAATAGGTTTCGCAATCCCAAGCGTATAAACAGTTATCGGATATGTCGAAAAAACGTTTAGTTTTAACTGGGCGAAACACATTAGCGCGTCATCATCTTTACAAGTTCTCCATACATTTTCATCGTAATTATCTTCTATTTCTTTAATGCCCAAAGCTTTGTTATTTCTTCTTATCAAACAGAAATGTTCTTTGTGTAAATAAAATACCCAATCAAATTCCTCTAATACTTTCTTTGGTTGAAAATGACTGTCTTCAGGGTTATAGATTTGAAAATTAGTATTAAATTTCTTATTGAATTTAAAAATTCTAGCAGTTGTCATAACTCCTTTTCTGTTTGATTTTTGAAAACTGTTGATGAAATCTTGAAATTCCTTTGTTAAATCTGTGTTCGTGATGTAATTTACACACTTTATAAAACAATAACAATCGGTTGGTATGTAACAATTTTCTCCTATGTATTCATTTATCTTTTTAAGTAGGTTAACACCACTTCCCTTTTTTGATCTATCTACTATTGTAAAATTATTTTTGCGCCAAATAATTTCTCCTGTAAAATACCAATCAGATGTATCAGAGGTTTCATGAATCTTTGTATAAATATATTGAAAAGTTTGAGGAGTGAAACCAGATAATCTGATGTCTTGTTTGTGTTTTCCTTTTTGATTTATTTGACCATTTATTTCAATTTGGCCTTTAATTTTATAATCCTTAAATAGAATAGTTATTCTCTTGATTAATTCTGAAAAAAGCATATTTGAGGTTGATATTTTAATTTCATTCGCCTCTTTTTCAAAAACTCCAGCTACATCATCAATTATATATTCAAATTCTTCTTTATCTTTTTCACATAATCTTTTTTTTTTTTTTTTTTTTTTTTTTTTGAAAAAATACTTTATTTACATAATAAATTATAACATACCATAATATGATATAATTGAATGAACATGAAATAAACAATATACATTCACTCACACATTCAAAATGAAAACATGGTTTATTACAGATTTTGAAAAGGGAGATAACTCTAGGTTAGGATTATACACTATACATAAAGTGAAAGAGTCGTCTAGTAATTGATATTATAATTCCATTTTTTCATGATAGTATCATCTGTTTCATAAGCTTTTACCTCAATAAATGCTATATTCTGTAAGTAGCTTTGAAACTTATGTACAGTAGGTAACGATATTTCTAATTTACATTTGTACAAATAATATTTTGCAATATAGATACAATTATTTACAAACAACCATTCATAGAAATTTTTGAAAAGAGATTGATCAGTGAATCCAAAATGCATATTTAACATATTCATTTTCAGATTAACATTATTATTTAAAAAGACTTTTTGTAAAAATTCCCAAATTATATTGGCATGAGAGCAAAGGATAAAAAGGTGATCCATTGTCTCGATTGTTGAATTACAAAAGGTGCATAAACTTGTATTGCTTAATTTTAGCTTGCATAATTTTTGATTCAGAAATATAATATTTTCACTAAATTTGGTTGAAAATATATTAGGTATTGAATTGAATATCAATGAAAAATATGTTTTAGATAATGGTTCGTTTAAATTTCCAATTTTATCCATTCTTTTTTTAAGTATCTATTTTTAACTAGGAATTTTTATTGATGATTTTTCATTGAATTTTTCTAATTCTTCAACTGATATGTTCTTGTCTTCTCTCGAAAAAAATGAATAAAGTATTAAGATATGTATTTAAAATTTCCTTTTATAATGAGCTTTGATGTAAAACCTAAAGTGATCAATCCACAAGAACACCACTACCCTTTTTTATTTCTTTGAAATTGTTTTTACGGAAAATCATTTTTCCTGTGATATACCAATCAGAAGTATCTGCATCCAGCGCAATGAAGAAATTGACTAAAATCATGGTATTAAAACCTACAAATTTTATGTCTTGTATGTATTTTCTATCTTGAGTTATCTCTCCATCTAATTCAATTTGTCCGTTAAATGTTCTAAATTCTTGAGCGATAAGCTCAATAACATTGGAAAAACGTTCAATTGATATGAATGTTTCATCGTCTGAAATTTCAATTTTATCCATTCTTTTTTTAAGTATCTATTTTTTAACTAGGAATTGTTAACTTTTATTGATGATATTTCTACATCAAATTTATCTAAAATTTCATTGAATTTTTCTAATTCTTCAACTGTTATGTTCTTGTCTTCTCTCGATCTTTCGAAAAATATAAACAATTTATTAAGATATGTATTTCAAATTTCTGTTTTCCTTTTATAATGAGCTTTCTGTTTTGATGTAAAACCTAAAGTAATCAAACCACAAGATGAAGTTTGAACGGTAGTGAACGCGGCTAATACAGTTGGGACAATTATTGGAAGCATTAATCCACCGGTTACGGCTGTTGCCACCGTTATCTCTACTGTTAAAACTGTGCTTAATGTTTTGAAAACAGAATCGATTCTACTCCATGTTTTTCTACATTTGTTGAATTGTTTTAGTTTTTCTTTTAGTTCGTTTTGTTTTTCTATCATGTATTTTTGTCTACTTTCGAGTTCCATATTTAGGTAATTAAATTAAATGAATTTCTGATAAAGCTACTTCGTGTTTACTATCTTCAATAAAAACTTCTACTGATATTAACAACATTTGTTCTTTTGAATCATTAATCTTATTCAGATGAACTGAAAATTTTGGTTTTTCAATAGAAACAATTAATTAAAAAAAAATACCGTATAATCTCTTATTGTTTGTATTATAAAAACTATATTATCTTGACTTTTATGAATATCAATTGAGGTAAATTTACCATTATCATATCAAAATCACCCAATATATTCATCTTCTTCTTTATCTTGTATGATTAACATTCTAAACCTATCTATATATTTTCCACTCGTTTTAATTTCATATAAGTGATTAACCTTGTTGTTTTCGTCGTAACTTTCATATTCTTTAGTTTCTACATTTTTTGTAGAAGAAGCCTTGTGTGAAGAATAATGAATCAACTTTTACCTGAAAAGGAAAAGTTATTTCAATTGAAAGTTTTCCTCGGAAAACAAAATTTATTGGTTGATAAGGTAAATCATCATCTGAATCAAAAATATTTTTGGGATAAATAGGATAATTTGGAACAGAATATACTCTAATATTTGCTGTAAATCCATATTTTTTATATTCATAGTCTTTTGATTTATCACTATTATCAGTAATATAAGCATCGTAATCTCTAAATGGAAGATGGAAATAATATGATTCTTTCTTGAGATACTTTTTTTCTAATGCGACTATATTATTGTCCTGTTTCAAAACTAGGTTATTAATAGTGGTTATCTGTTGTTGAATAACACTATCATCAATGTTCTGTATTTGTTGATGAATATAGGTTTTGATTTCGCTATCATCTATGTATTGTATTTGTTGTTGAATATAGGTTGTGATTTCGTTATCATCTATGTTTTGTATTTGTTTTTTAATATTTGTTAGTTCTTTTTGTAATTCACTGTTAAGTTTAGTTTCCATTTAATTCCTGTTGAAACGTAGCTTCATTTTCATCTGGAATGTTCTCTATCAATTGTTGAATGTCTAATTTTTGTTTTGCAATCTTATCCTCTAATTTAGATATTAATGAAATTAAATTTTGTAACTCAGTTTTGTTCACTACGTTGACCAATTCTTTTTGAATAAGACTTATTAATCTTTGTACCTCTTGTTGTAGTTTAGTATCATTAGCAAAATTTTTATTATTTAGTTGAAATTTGAAGAATCTTTTCACATTACTTATTTTATCTTCTAAATGGTTTTTATTTACTTCAATTGAATTTATTTGATCCCGTAAATATTTCTTGTGAATAGCGTCATTATCGTTTTCCGGAGACTTTAAATTAGTTATGCTAAAATTGTTCATATCTAAATCACCTTGAAGAGTGTCTCCGATTTGATCCACAAAGTATTTTCGCTTTATTTATCCACGTTGTAGTGTTAGGTTTTTTAGTTTCTAAAGATAAAGAAACCAATCCAAACTTGTTCGCCATTTTTATTGAGTTAAATTTATTACAATTTCTTCGAACTGTTTTCCTAAACTCAACTGATATAAAACCCAAAGTGAAAGCTGACCACAAAACTTTTGTCCCGGTAATTGAATTTGAAATGTTGAACATTTGATTGGTTTATTAGTCAATTGGATTATCTCTTCAGTGGGTTCTAATCCATAAGAATCGAAGAAATAAAAGTCAGAGTCTTTGTACAAAGCAGAATGATGAACTCCTTTTTGATCGGAATTATGTATATTTGTTATAGCGTAAAATTTACCTTTCTTATATTTCAGATCATTTATTTCATCTCTCATACAATAATAAAACGGTGATATATTTAACTCATTCGCCCATCTCTTAAGTTGAAAGTTTGTGGTTGTATCGGTTCCATATTTATCGAGAAATTCATTCATTTTTAAAAGTTGGTTTTTTTGAAATATATACGTAGTTTGTGTTTGAAAAAAATTGTATTACATTCTGATAAAACACATTCAATAATATTTTGAATATAAATTTGAATTTAAGAAAGCGAAAATGCTTGTCTACATCTTCTATCAAATTCATTCATTTTTAAAAGTCGGTTTTTTGAAGTTCGTTTTGATAAAACCTTCCTATGATTTGTTCTTTGTCTTGATCGATTAATTCGTGTCGGAGGTGATGTGGTGTTTACTTTATCAACGATAAATATTTCGTTCGTCCAGTATCCAACGTAACCTTTTTCGAATTTGCTTTTATATTTGAAAATACGAACTCGATCTCCGACTTTAAATTTGGGTTTGATATTTAAATTCTTTATTTCATTTTCGTAGTTATGTTGCGCGTTAATTGACTTTATAATATTTGGATTACTCGAGGCTTGTGTTGGTGTGACACCTATAGATGAATGAATTTTGTTATTGTATTCATCTACAACTGGTAATATTTTAAGCCATTTTTGAGATTTCAATTCCGTGAACTTTTCGAATAATTTATTTTTTAGAGTCCTGTTAAATCTTTCTATTACTACAGCTTTACCTTCGTTATGCGTACTGTAAATTTCAAATCCCAGAGATTTCATATTTTTGTTATAAAATTCGCTTCCTTTATCTACCCACAGTTTTTCTGGATGTCGGTTAGATTGTTTCATAATCGTTTCAAATGCGTGTTTGACTGATAATCCTGTTTTGTTTTTCAAAGGAATAACCCATACATATCTCATATACAAATCTATAACTGTTAAGCAATATTTAAATCCTCTTTCGACTGGCATATGAATTAAATCGGCTGACCATATTTCATCTTTTTCAAACACTTTTACTTTTAAAAAGTTTTTAGTTTTTCTAAATTCTTTTTGAATTTTATCCGCTAATCCCATGCCTAATTTCATCTTTGCTTTTAACAGTTTAATGATTAATGCTCTTTGCATTCTCTCTTTGAAAGTTGGATTTGGAATATTTTCAAGTTCAAACATATACATACTAAGTTTCATCAATATCGGATAAAATCTGTAGTCTATAGCCTGCCTACCAAGCCAAATCTTACTTAGTCACGGGCAATTACCCTGAAACCGTTCATCCAATTATTACCAATTATTACTAATTTCATCTTTGCTTTTAACAGTTTAATGATTAATGTTCTTTGCTTTCTCTCTTTGAAAGTTGGATTTGGAATATTTTCAAGTTCGATTATCATTCGTCTGTCTGCTTCGTGTCTGAAGTTTATGTCTTTGTTTCTGTATAGTATGTCGTGTTTAAGCACAGCGGCGTCAACTCTATTGACTGGTTCTTCCCCCGGTTTGGGTTTATCGTTTTCGTCTAATCGCAGATCTAACCTAGTACCTGGACCGGTGTAATTATGACCGGGAAGATGTTTTTCTCTGGGATATTTCGCCCATGGAAATCCAGGAAGAGAACCCAATGATTTTTGTATATCTCCTGAACCGAAATAAGTTTTTGGAGCGTGAGCGACTATCATTTTTATCCTATAACTTTAAAACTTTTTCTTTTCCTTTCTTCTAATCTCCTGTTTCGAAGTTCTCTTATTAGTTCTAATTCTTTCAACTCGTTAGATTGTTTCACTGTGTCGCTTATACTCTTTCCCGCTTCCGCTATTGAGCCCATGGCTTTCGCTCCGGTTGAAATGAGTGATTTGTTTTTTGAAACAAAACTAGCTACTTTTGGAATTATTGTTTTACCTAGAGAAATTAATGAAGAAAAGAAACCGTCGCCTGAATAATCTTTGAAAGCGAAACAAGGATGTTATTTTATATAAGGGTATTTTTAATATGCTTTTTTTGATGGAATTTAGGAAATTGATTGAAGGTATTTTTTTTGGTGTATGAAATGTAGGGAATTTAGGATGTTTTATGAAATGTAAGGTGTTTTGCTGTAAGAATTTATGAAATGTAGGGAATTTAGGTCTTGTTTTTTGGGAGTTCATAGATTGGTTGGATTTTTCCCATGAAATGAATTGGAATGTGGAAAAATCCGACCAGTCTATGAGCTCATATACTAATAGTCTTTATTGTGTTCACAAACAAATTTTGACGCGTTTTTCATAAATCAAGGGCAATAACTCAAAAACCGTTCATCGAAAGATCGTCAAATTCGAACTTGTCCAAGATCTCTGGAATATAAATGATCACACCAAATTTCATTCAAATTAGATAAAGATAGCTTGCCAGGCCAAATGATAACAAAGTAACTAAGTCTTTAGAGGTTTAATATGTGAAACCAATCATCCTATTTTTACTAATTTTAAGCTTTACAGAGATCTCATACCAAGTTTCATCAAGATCATATAAAAAAATGTAGTCTCTATCAGGCCTACAAGCCAAATTAGACGCATTGAATCAAATCAAGAGCAATAACTCCAAAACCGTTTACCTGATTGTTACGAATTTCAACTTGACTGAGATCTTGTCCATATATACATGCATACCAAGGGCAATAATTCCAAAACCATTCATCTAATTATGACAAAATTCAAATATATATACATACTAAGTTTCATCAATATCGGATAAAATCTGTAGTCTATAGCCTGCCTACCAAGCGAAATCTTACTTAGTCACGGGCAATTACCCTGAAATCGTTCATCCAATTATTACCAACTTCAAACTTGACCGATATCTCATCAATATATTCATGCATACTAAGTTTCATCAAGATGGTATCAAAATTGTCGCGTTCATTGGGCATACAAGGCAATTTTACTATGTCAAGGGCAATAACTCTGAGACCGATTATCCGATTATTACCAATTTTGAACTTTACCGAAATCTCATCAATATATACATACATCAAGATCAGATAAAATTGCAGCTTTTATCGTGCATACAAGCCAAATTTAGTCAAGGGCAATAACTCGTTCATAACCGTTCATCCGATAATTACCAATTTCGATGTTAAATGACAAAAAGGTCTTCAAAGACTGTTTGATATATCATATTTTATTTAATTTTGTTTTATAAAGATTTTATGTGGGTCTGAATTTTGTACTTTTCTTTGGAAATAAGACTTTCCTTACTCTTTTAAGAGATTTTAGATTTACCTAAATAGGTTCGTTTTAGGAATTGGGGTTGTAGATCGAACAACATATCCTTAATAACTGGTTGGGTCTCATTTTCTTCTCACTGTATTCCGACCACAACTGAAACAGCTTCCCTTGGATTGCAGCCTTCAATTTGCCTTTGGATACCATTTTCATCACAAACTTCACATAGTTCTGCCCCTAAAGTCCTTGTTTATTGTTCACACCAATTACTATATTTAATCTTTTTAATTAATCCAAATCAACTAATCCCATTGAGAATTCCACATTTTAACAGTTTAACAATGATGTCCGAGTCATAAAACAAGTGGTCCGAGTTGTTTTTAACTTGGTCCGAGATTTAAAATAAGTGGTCCGAGTTGTCTTTAACATTGGTCCAAGTCTTAAAAAAATGGTCTGAGTTGTCTCTAACATTGGTCCAAGTCTTAGAACAAGCGGTCAGAGTTGTCTTATAACTTGGTCCGAGTTTTCTTTAACATTGGTCCGAGTCTTAAAACAAGTGGTCCGAATTGTCTTTAACCTGGTTCGAGTTGTCTTTAACATTGGTCCGAGTCATTGAGTTATAAATAGGTCCGAGATTTAAAACAGGTGGTCGAGTTGTCCTTAACTTTGTCCGAGTCTGAAAACAAAGATTGGTCCGAGTGATCTGTGGTCCGAGTTGTCTTTGGTCCGAGTTGTCCTGATTCCGCTTTACTCGATTATGTTTAGTTCGTGTCGGCTCAAACAGTTCTCCGAATACATGAAAATGTAACTTTTCTGGCTTTGCACCTTTGATCTACTCGTATTGAAAATTTGAAAGCAGAAGAAGAGACAATATGCTACAAGATTTCTATGCAACAAACTATTGGTTTTATCGGTTTCCGTGCTGATCCTTAATTCGCTTCTTTGTTCGGGTCACCCGGAACATGCGAAATAGATACAGTACAAGAGAAAAGGCTGGCACTGCATTCTTCTTTTCATGTATTCCAAGTTATAAATTCATTATGTCTTTGTCAAAACATAATAATTCATTTTTTGAAGTTGTAATTTTACTACAGTAGTTGATTGAACTCTATGGGCTATTATGAATTTATCTTATAATTTGGCGCTAGGACTCTATTCATATTATATACATAGCCTACGGTACCTATTCATTATTTATTAATAATAGGCCCAATTATTACGCCATATATTCAAATATAATTATGTTTGTTATGTATTAAAGTAAATGTATGTGATAAATACTAAATTAAGGCTTGTTTGTATGTTTACAGAGAGTCATTTTCAGTTCTAAAAGCAGGTCAATTTACATTAATTTTCTAGAAGGGAAGTGTGTCTATTTCACATGTAAAATTACTGAACCTTATATTTTATGGACTCAACCACATTCTTAGACAAATGGTATGAAACTGAAAATTCTATTTTGAATATTTATGAAATGAGAGGAAATATTCAAAGCTCAATGTAGTCAGAAAGTACCTTAGCTACTTTGGTTTGAATTGTAATTTTTATTACACTAAAGTTCAATAAACTAAGTTTTATATTTCATACAACACAAGTTTCTATATGATAATATACCAATATTACTAGTCTTGCCTTGCTAAAGATGGGTTCCTATATTTTCATCTGCTAATACTTATATGAATAGAAAGTAAATGTCTAATGACTTGGAAAATACCAGTTTGTCTCACATGTCCATAATTAATTCATAATTAGCTAAATCCTAAGAGAATGACCAGCAGTCCAATGAGTGACCAATCATGAAAGGTCAAAAAGTCTTTTTTTTGTTATCCAGACTGTAGATACATGGACATTTATAATTGGATAAAACTCATAATTATATGCAATCAGAACATGATGATATGATTAAGAATACATGATAATTCATTGGAAACTTCAATTAAATAAATAGTTTGCTTAATTTGACACTAAAAAAAATAGGGAAACCAATCTTTAAGTTTTTTTTACTCAAAATATCAGCTTTTACTAACAATACTGTTAGAATGACTTTGCGTTGATAAAATACCTACTGTTTTGAAACTGATATTCCATATCATACAACAATACTGTAAAATTCAATTACTTTGATAAAGGTACAATAGCTTCTTAATTATAACTTGTGTCTTTTATTTTTAGATACATGAAGTTGATCAAAAATGGCAATGAAATGTATCTGTGGAACAGTGGAAATTTCGATTCAAGTTGGAATGTGTGTTTAGATATCCTTTGAAACGGCCGATGATGATATTTGAGTTTGATGAATAAAAATATGTAAATACATACAGATACTGTAAACTTTGTCTTCCAAATACAAAATCAAGTATGTCACTTTCCACAAAGTCTTCCAGACTATTACGAGGAATTCGCAAATTGCTCCGAAACAAAGATGTGAAGTTTTTTCTTGTGTTATATTCAGTGACATTGATGGTACTGTTAGTAGTATGTACAACATTCCTTCAACATTCTGTATTCTATATCAAATCCAAAAACAAAGAGTTTGCCAAACAAAAAATGATAAAGGAAAACAATAAAAGGATTATTGAAAGTGAAAATATCATCAATAATACTGAAATTAAGCCAGTTTTATCAAATGTAGACATTGCATTAACTATCATATCAGTACCAAGAAACAGACATAAAATAGAGGATACCTATAGACCGAAATATTTATCTCAAGTTGTTGGTAAACTATTATCTTTACTAAAAACTCAAAATACACTCAAATCATATGCAATATTTCTATGCAATGTGCATAATGATCCAGATACTTTTGATGAAATCAAGCCTCTTGTGAAAAGGTTTACAACATTTCAAAGATATACAACTAAAACGTATGTTTCAGATGGTAAATTTGAGAAGGAAAAACAGGACTATGTTTACTGTATGAATGAAACACTGCACAGAAATGTTAGTTATGTATTTTTAATAGAAGATGATGCTTATCCACATGCTGATCTGTTTTCAGTGTTAGAAGATGTTATAACTAAGCGAATTGAAAATAAGTTTTCCAATCCATGGATACCAAAAAGGAATGTAACGTTTATCAAATTTTACCACGTTCCATATGTTTTGGGTTTTTGTAGTTATGAAATAGAACGGGTGCCTGAACTTTTAAGTGTAAGTTTATTTTTTGGAACATTACTATGTAAAGTCTATCTCTATTTTGTAAAAAAGAAGCATTTGAAAGTGAGTTATTTATGGATATTATGTATATTATATGCAAGTCTAGTTGCCATGTGTATCAGTAGACAACATTTATTAGAATTACGAAGACTATCCAAAGAATTTTACCTAGTTACTCCAACTCCTTCTTGTTGTACACCAGCTATGCTTTATACACAGTATGGTGCAAACCTAGTGATAAACAAAATGAGTAAAGCAAGATGTAAAAATGGATATGGAAAAGACTCATTATTAGATGATATTCGTCGTAAAAATAGGCTTACAGCATTAATGGTACAACCTAATTTATTTCAACATATTGGTATTTACTCTTCCTTACGTTATAGTGTCAATCTAGATTCTATTCTATGATGTCCTACTTTGTCCAAAGCCCAAAGGGTTTCCACAAAAGCTTGCTTTCATCATCCACAAGTTTATTTTGTAGTTGATTATGTCTGAATATCTGTTATGTATTTGATTGAATTATTGTAAGGTTAGTTTTTTTTTTCTCTTGTCTAGGTAACAAGTGGTTAATACTGAATTTTAACCAGTTTATAAATCACTAATTCAACACTGCATTCGCCATCAGTGTTATAATTATTAGTGTTGATCAAAAATTTGTTGTAATTTAACTCATATGAGCTCTCATCCATATATTATGATCATATCAAGTTTCTTTAAAAGCCCATCAAAATTGTGCTCTCTATTGTGTCACAAGCTAAATTTGAAGTCAAGGGCAACAACTCAAAAATGTACCAAGTTTCTTCACAATCCACTCAAAAGCAAGTCTTCACATGCCAATTTTGATGTATTTTTAACTACGAAACAAATGGTTGCCGTGCACTTTCTTGATACATTTTCAGTATATCAAGGCTGATAAAAACTGTAGTCTCTGTTGCGTTCACAAGCCAATTGTAGACTGACGAACGGACAGGGGCGACGACAATATACGACTACATGTGGGTGAATAAAAATGTTCAAAATTTGATTAAAATTATACTCTAATCAAAATCTTTCTAGTCAATATTGCATGTGCAAGCAATAAAGGGTCAATAAATGGAACATAGGACATTGTTCTTGTTCAAAATTAATAAAAGACGTATTTATATATTTATTATTGATGTATTATGAGGTATAGGATTATATATTTAATTTTTATATTCAAGATATTATATCAGGGATTATCATATCATCATGAAAATACATATAAACATTTTATTATCAATTTTTTGTGTTATTATTAATTAATAAATCAAGTGTTGTGTTGTGATAGATAGTTACTCCTGTATTTGTAGTGGCTGCTCTACTGGCCATTTGATAAAGTTACTTATCACAGGGTAACCTGTGAAGCAGCTGTTATGGAGTGATCAGATACCTCATATTTCTATATCTCCTACACATCTTATGGTATGGTGTATAACCCTCAGTGTTCGATTGGTTAAGAAATTATCATATTCTTGAAGGTCAAATTTTATTAAATAGACACCACTATATCTGTCAGAAAAATTATATACCGCGTTTAATCATGTCAAAGTCCACTGTATCATAAACAAATGGTTGAGGAGTAATATATGCCCACTTTCCTGATACAATTTCAGTTTATCAAGGTAGGTTACTAATCTGTGTCAAATTGTACCAAAAATCTAACTTTTCGAAGACGTTTTTTATTTTAGTCACAAAATTTAATAAAATTCAGACATAAACTGTCGCCTCTATTGCATTAACATGCCACATTTAACATAAAATGTATTATTAAAATCAGATGAAATTTTTTTAGTCTATAGTATTCACATACGCTTTTTTAAAATTTATTATTTTTATTATACGCCCACATCTCTCTATGTGGACGTATTTTGTCGGCACCACTGTCCGTCCGTCCTTCAACATTTGCTTGTAAACGCTCTAAAAACTATATGTTTTGATGGAATCAAATGAAATTCGGTATGTGTATACATATTCATAAAACAAAGATCAAGTTCGAATTTGAGCTATTTTCGACCGTTAGAAGCAGAGTTATTGCCCTTGCCCCAAAATCTTGAATATTTACCATCCGCATGCCGTGGTGGGCGTATATGGCTGTGGTCCACTATCTTATTCTGTTGGGTTGGAAATAATATAGTGAAAATTGGCTTACTCAAAAATTTTGATATTTTAAAGAGGGCTTTAACTCTAAAATGACAAAATCTTACATAAGTATTATATTGTTTCAATGTTATTCATTTACCATCAGGCATTTTCCAATCCATATTTTTCATAAAATCTTTGACAGAATGTAAAGAAATGGGTTGTAAATAGCTTCCTGTATGTTTTCTTCTCCACCATTTTCCAGCTTTAGCTTCCAGACTTCCAATTTTAACAAATTTATATCTGTAATTTTCTATTCTTATAAAACTGTAACAAAAGAAAATTGGTTTTTCATCTAAAATGGTTTTGGTGTGTAAATTATGATCAAATGTGGCCTATTGTCTGACTGAATCCACTGATTCCATTTACACAAAATACAAAGAGGCTGACATGGGAGTTGTCAATATACACCATACACACAGAGAGATGCATGTGATGTATACAGAGAGATGTGGTTCATAAAGAGAGATGTCGTATATATAGAGAGATGTGGTTCATACAAACAGATGTAGTGGTTAAATATCAAATAACTTTTTTCAATGATCAATCTCAATGATTTGTAAATTCAATCCGAAATTATAAGGTATAAATGAAGATATTTATGAAGAAAAGAAAATATAACTTACTTTGGTGGTTTATCGGGGAAAGGATTATAATCTATTAAATTTAATGTATCTTTATCATTTGCCAATAACTTTACCACTAAATGAACTATCCATGGGTTATACTGAAAATTCTAGAAAATTTAAAAAAAAAAAAAAAAAAAACTTAAACTAATCTTTGGCAGAGTTTATGTGTTTTTTTCTTGTTCCAAAAAAAAACCTTTCTAGTTTCTTGTTACATTTAACAATTGTTGAATACTTTGCATCAATATAGATGTTATGTATTAGAAACTTTAAGGTTGTCTATTAATACAGAATGAACATACCTTATGAAATGGTACAAACCATAACAACCAATCTAAACGATAATGATAAGGGGAAATTAAACAGGGTCTTCTTGTTATATTTCCTGGTTTACATTTAAAATCATATTCTCTCCATTCAGCACTCGGTGAATATGGGTCTGAACTTGATGTTCCCTCAAATATAACTTCAATTCTTTTCTTAGTTACACTGTCAATAAAAATTCTTATGTTAAAACATCTTTCATCTTTGTAAAAATGAATAACGATATTGAATGAAAAGTGTAACTACTATGGTAAGATATGGAAATCTATTGTATGTTGCCTCTTGGTCTAGGGTCCAGACAATTAATAAGGGTTGTTTGATATATTTTTTCTAGCTTATTTAGATACCTATTAAGATGTAAGTTGATCAACAGTCATCTAAACTTTTCAACAGTATGTTGTTAAAAATATATTCTAAATGCAAATGCATTCAATTGAACATCACAGCATTGAAATGTTTAACACTAAAGCGAGGAATACTAATCTAAATGCTTGTTCTTGAAATAAAATCTGATTTACCTTCCAAAGGCACCATAGGTATTAACTAATCTGAGAGGCTCAAATGATGTATTCATACGTTGTCTATGTGATATGAGATTCTGTACAACAGGTATAGATAGATACACTATTAATACACCTAAACTAATATTAAATACTTTTCTTATATAACACCCTGAAATAATAATAAATATTAAACTATTAATACACCTTAACTAATATTAAATACTTTTCTTATATAACACCTTGAAATAAGAATAAATATTAAACTATTAATACACCTAAACTAATATTAAATACTTTTCTTATATAACACTCAGAAATAATAATAAATATCAAACTATTAATACACCTAAACTAATATTAAATACTTTTCTTATATAACACCTTGAAATAATAATAAATATTAAACTATTAATACATCTAAACTAATATTAAATACTTTTCTTATATAACACCCTGAAATAATAATAAATATTAAACTATTAATACACCTAAACTAATATTAAATACTTTTCTTATATAACACCCTGAAATAATAATAAATATTAAACTATTAATACACCTAAACTAATATTACATACTTTTCTTATATAAAACCCTGAAATAATAATAAAAATTAAACATTTAATACATCTAAACTAATATTAAATACTTTTCTTATATAACACCCTGAAATAATAATAAATATTAAACTATTAATACATCTAAACTAATATTAAATACTTTCTTATATAACACCCTGAAATAATAATAAATATTAAACTATTAATACATCTAAACTAATATTAAATACTTTTCTTATATAACACCCTGAAATAATAATAAATATTAAACTATTAATACACCAAAACTAATATTAAATACTCTTCTTATATAACACCCTGAAATAATAATAAATATTAAACTATTAATACACCTAAACTAATATTAAATACTTTTCTTATATAACACCTTGAAATAATAATAAATATTAAACTATTAATACACCTAAACTAATATTAAATACTTTTCTTATATAACACCTTGAAATAATAATAAATATTAAACTATTAATACACCTAAACTAATATTAAATACTTTTCTTATATAACACCCTGAAATAATAATAAATATTAAACTATTAATACACCTAAACTAATATTAAATACTTTTCTTAAAAGATAGTGGCCCACAGCCATATACACCCACCACCACCTATGCGGATGGTAAAAACGAAACATCCATTTTAAGTTTCATCAAAATTGGTTGAAAACTAAGAGAGTAATAGCATATTCAAGATTTTGGGGCAAGGGCAATAACTCTGCTTCTAGCGGTTGAAAATAGCTCAAATTCGAACTTGATCTTCGTTTTATGAATATGTATACACATACCAAATTTCATTTGATTTCATCAAAATATCTAGTTTTTAGAGTATTTACGAGCAATTGATGTTGATAGAAGCACTTACTGTATAGAGGTTAAAGGGCGATAACTCCTCAAAACTGACATAAGAGGCCTTAATCTTGAAAAAGCCTTAAATTTAATCAGAGGTAGACTAAACTTTGTCAAAACTTTCCATTTAGGTCCAATAACATCCATTTTAAGTTTCATTGAAATTGGTTGAAAACTAAGTGAGTAATAGCATATTCAAGATTTTGGGGCAAGGGCAATAACTCTGCTTCTAACGGTCGCAAACAGCTCAAATTCGTTTTATGAATATGTATACACATACCAAATTTCATTTAATTCCATCAAAAAATCTAGTTTTTAGAGCGTTTACAAGCAAATGTTGACGGACGGATGGACAGATAGGGGTGCCGTCAATATACGTCCACATAGAGAGATGTGGGCGGTATAAAAACAATAAATATTAAACTATTAGAACACCCTAAAATATAAAAATTACATTTTAAACTAACTATAAATACAATTTTAACTAATAACATACACTATACTTTACTAAGTCCCTAGAATATATTTAAAACTATTAATACAACTTTAACTAATATTAAATTTTTTTTAACAAGAGTTTAACATTGCAGGATAATTTCAAGTTGTCTTATTAGAACCTTAAGGGACATAATTGTTTTAATATCTGCTTTGCCAGATGATAGAAATCAATTTTTGCTTTTCTGCAGTAATGACATTTAGGTTTGTCGACAGCAAAAATATTAATCTAATGAGGTAAATGTTAACATACCTAAACTGTCCTTAGATCCTTTTACTCTTTTCTCCATTTCAATATTAATAACATGTTCTTTGGTTGATTTTGAAAACATCCAAGATAAATTAAGATCATCAAAACAAGCTAAACTTGGTAAAATAGTTAACCAATTTAAAAAGCTTAAATTTCCACTTATGATTAAAACAATCTGTAAAAATTAAGTAAAAAAATTGTGTAATGATGCAATGAAACATGACAATTTCTGTAAGTATTTATGATAGATAGATAAAACGATTGATACCTGAAATAGTATTTGCAGACACCCTCCAACAATCACCATTCTTCTTGTTAAAAATAATAAAAATGGTGCAACTAATTCTATAAAATGATTGGATAGAGTTTCAAATTGGTGAAATATTTCTGGAGATTGATGCATAAAATAACTCATTGGATTTGGTACTGGTTGTGTCTAAAATAGAAGATAGCTTGCCAGGCAAGGTAATATACGCCCACTGGCAGCTTTGATTTTAAATAAAAATATTTGACAGTACAGTAACAATCACGAGTATGAAATATTCAGCCTTCAGTCATACACTTCTTTTGAACTTTTTAGGGTGATACTGAATAACATTACCAAGTTTTGTCAAAATCTTTTTAATAGGGTTCATCCTCAGGTGGTTACAAATAATCATACCAAGTTTCTTCGAAATCAGTCAAGAATAAACTTCTAAAATGTTTACGAGCAATTGTGAACGGATCAACAAACAGACAGACAGGCAGACATGGGTGACAACAATATAAGCCCCCAATTTCATCTGGGCGTATAAATCTGAGACAATAGTAGATATAAAAAATCAAAATAAAGATCTTCATTTCATTCTTTTTTGTGAAATTTCCCTGATTCTATTGTTTTGAAAAAATAATTGGATGACAGCTTACATCGAACTTTACCATAGTGAAAAGTTCTGAAATAATTTCATTCACAATACAAATTAGCCAAGAATTTAACTAAATATACTGAAGTGATAGAAACAAAGTGACTGGAACAAATAAGGAAAGATTAAACCATTAAATCATGAAATAGGAAGAAAAACCCAACAAACCTCATAATGGTAATTCATACAAGTTAAATCTCTCCAACACTGATCACCTCTGATCTTTATTAATCCCTGAAAATACAATCATACAATTATAATGACAATATGTATTTTTCAAAACCAATTTATACCAATTTTAATGTCATTATTCAATTTTTTCCTACTCCTATAAGAAAGATAGCTTACCACGCAAGGTAACATATGCCCACTAGCAACTTTGATTTTAAATAAAAATATTTGGCAGTACAGTAACAATCACCAGTATGAAATATTCAACCTTCAGACATATACTTCTTTTGAACTTTTTGAGGCGATACTGAATAATATATGTTTCATCAAAATCTGTCAAGAATTGGGCCTTCTAGAGTGTTTACATGCTACATATTGAATGCATTTTCAAGAACAAGGGCACAATTTTTTTTTTGATTTTTCTGATTTTCCATAGGGTTCATCCTTTGGTGACAACAAACACTCACACCAAGTTTCGTCAAAATCTGTCAATAATTGAACCTTCTAGAGCATTTACGAGCTAAAAATTGACCGTGTTTTCAAGGGCAGTAACTCATACTAATCATTTTTCGATTATTCTGATTTTCAATAGGGTTCATCCTTGGGTGATTACTAACACTCATACCCAGTTTCTTTGATATCCGTCAAGATTTGTGCCTTCTGGAGTGTTTACAAGCTAAAAATTGAACGTGTTTTCAAGAACAAGGGCAATAACTCAAATTAAATATATTTAATTTTTCTGATTTCCGATAGGGTTTATCCTTGGGTGTTAACGAACACTCGCCCCAAGTTTCGTCAAAATCCGTCCAGAATTAGCCTTCTTGAGTGTTTACACGCTAAATTTTAATGCGTTTTCATGAAGAGTATGAACTCCTACTAATTATTTTTTTATCTTTTTGATTTCAAATGGGGTGCATTCTTGGGTCATAACAAACAAGAATTTTTCTGATTTTCAATAGGGTTCATCCTTGGGTGTTTACAAACAACCATACCACGTTTTGTCAAAATCAATAAAGAATTGTGCCTTGTAGAGTGTTTACGAGCAATTGTGGATGGATGGACGGACAAACAGGGTGACGACAATATACGCCCCCCATTTCATGTGGGCGTATAAAAACACATTAAGAATATAAATAATATGTTTGGACAACAAAAACACCTTAACAACTAACTTTTTTTATAGTTGGACACAATACCATAATATTTCCTTATTTATTGCACTTATTTTGAGTTATAAAGTAAATACTTACAGCTCCTAACATAATTCTAAATATTAACCATCTATAACCATAGATTACAACTACTGACGTTGGTGTATGTTTGGGGAATTGTGATAAATTCCATACAGGACAAAGAAATATTGCTAAAAATCCTGTCTCTAATAATTGAGATTCCCAGCCTGAAAAACAACTTTTTTAGTAACACTAATCTGTATTGCAAAGTAGCAGCAAAGAATCAGAGTTACAGTAAAACTAAGCTCAAGTGACTACAGATAACTATGAAACATATTGTTGCAAGAGTGTAGATCCTAATGATATCTACATAAACTTAAAAGTTATTACAAATTTTCTCAAGAGTTCAATATTAATGTTGAAGTTTTCATACATGATTGAAATTAAAAAATTGAAAAGACTAATCAAAATAGACTTACCAAAGCTGTACCTTTAAAAAGAATAAACCACATCAATTTCAGATCATACAACATTAAAAAAAAAAACACAGATAAGCATATACTGTACATGACAAATGTGTAAATTTACTAATAGCCAATCTTATTAATTCATTAAGATTATTAAATCTGCAAAATTTCATTGTCTTTTAAACTACTTTATGCAATTTCAACCAATCAGTTTATGGTATGGTAGTATAATAGTTTGGATAGAAATATCAAAACAGAACTCGAATCATGTTGTTCAGATTCACACTATGCAATCTTCAGGCTGTCATCATCAACAAAATGATTCAGATACAGAAATTGTTTTTATAAGCTGAAAAAAGCCTGCTTTGGAAGAATTATTGCCATAGAACATTGGTCACTTACCATGTTTGTCCTATATTAACTAAGGAGTGATACAGAACCCATAAACATGCCATGATAAACCAATTAGCTGCACCACATACCAGTAAAAATAATGATAAAAATACACCAATATAAGCCACAGCATCTAGTAAAACATCTAAATGTTTATCATAATCAAATAGCCATAAAATAGAAGGTACATTATTGAACATATTCAACTTATCACCATTAGATTTCAGCTGAACATTTTTTAACATTTTATTGGCTGGTAACAAACCATTACTTCCTAATAACTCTTTATTCTGATGTAACGCAACAAGGAATGCTATAACTGAAATAGAAATAAGAACTCATTTATCTGAAATTGATAGAAATTTGACTGACCTGAAACAGAAAGAAAATGGAATTTCAATTGAATTTCTTTAACCATTTCCCCAAATTTCAAAATAAACTTTCAAGGGCATATGAATATAATTATAACATGTATTTTCAAAAGTAAACATGTCCATAACACTCTGAGGTATAGGACTGCTATTTAAACATTTGAAATTTACACCCTTACACCCAACAATCTAGTGTCAAATACAATTTCCTGTCAAAATTCCAAACCTTTTAAATTTTTTGTACTACGCATGTATAAACAAAAGTGACAAGCTCAACCGTTTTATATCTAAATATACAGTCAAGTAACCTAATTTCAAGCTAACCTATTTTTCGTGCATCTCTGTAAATGATTAATAATTCACATGTGCGATCTCTCGTGACCTCCGCATTTGCTTGTTTTAATAAACATGAGTTATCTGTACAATATCAGCTAGTAGAATGTATTCAGTAGTTTCAAGCAAGGTAAAATTATAAATGTATACTTCGACAAATACAAAATGGTGGAATTCAGTTTTTACCAAATGTCACAATTTTTTATTGGCCGAATTTCCTTATAATTCCAAGCTCTAATCGGAATTCAAAGTGTTGCTCGCTAGAATGTAGTTCAGTGAACGAAGTCACATGATAAACTAGCGGATTCCGTGTCAGCAGAAAATTCATATGGAACACAATGTGAGCCATATTCTAAAGTTGTTTCAATGACTTTCTTTGAAGGAATTGTCATTAGTAATGATGAAACATTATTAAAGATAAATACCAAGAGAAGTTAATTATACCACTGGGCATCCATAAAGCATGTTTTTCTCAACTTATTTAAAGATAAAACATTGTAAATGAAAATAGGTGACATATTTTGCTTGTGAAATATGGGTCAAAGTGAGGGAAAATCAAAACAAACAAATTTTAATTATTTTGTAGAATATCTGAGGAAACTTCAAAGACATAAAAAAAAATGTGCTTTTTTAAGTTTTGACGAAATTCTGTGTTGAATCCTTATAAACACAAATATAGACACTACTTTAGTATCGGTAATCAATTTACCAATGAAAGAATGACATGACACTCAAAAATTCATTTAAGACTTTTGTAAGTTTATGACAAAAAAGGGAATCTTTTATTATGTGAAATTTACTAACAATATATAAATCCAACATATCTTATCAAGATAATTCTTGTTAACCAATAGCTTCCAGGTGCCAGCAAGTGCTTTGAATCAACCTTTTCATCTTTGCCACGCCAACAAGTTTCATTTTTAGTTCGTTGTTTATCATTTTCGGTATTTTTTGACTCTTTGGTCAATGGCAACTTTCTTTGACGAATTTCTCGAGCGGATGTATTATTACTCGACATACTGGGTTCAAATATCCTTGTCGTATTTTACAAATTGTGTCTTTTTTTGAAAGGTTAAACAATATATGGATTTTTAAGTAATGTAGGTAGCCATGATGATAAGAGGCACAACTCGATTTATCAAAGCTAGTTATTCCCCCTTAATTTGGAGTCGGACAACTAACATTTCTATTCAGGAAAATAATGATTTCTGCAGGAAGGTTTCTGCCTTGTATAAGAAAATGAAACGCATTTAGGTGCACTGGCATGAACAAAATAGATAAAAAAAAATATAACTAGAAAAAAAAAAAATCAATATCACAAACATGAATAATGAGATTATGCCTTCTCTGACAAGGTCTCTCCAAAACCGATATTATCGATATTAGATTACAGATGGGTATTTTCTTTCTGGTTACTAAAGTTATTCCAAAAGTTGGCCTAATCTATTTTTAGGGTTCAGGGGGACATAACACCCCCCCCCCCCCCACCTCCCGT